ACACGTTTCGTGGCTCCATAGGGAGCTCCACCGAAGGCCCCAGTGCCAGCGCCCGCATGCGTCAGCCACACCCATTCGGCACACCCTTCGTTTCGTGGCCCCATAGGGAGCTCCACCTCGAAGGCCCCAGTGCCCGCGCCCGCATGCGTCACCACACCCATTTCGGGAGGGAGCTCCACCGAAGGCCCCAGTGCCCGCGCCCGCATGCGTCACCCACACCCATTTCGGCACACCCCTCACACGTTTCGTGGCTCGATAGGGAGCTCCACCGAAGGCCCCAGTGCTGCCGCCCGCATGCGTCCTGCACACCCATCCCCTTCACACGTTTCTTGGCCCTATAGGGAGCCCCACCGAAATTTGTAGTGTCAACTGCGGTATTTACACCTGCACATGGTTGGGTCCTTCGTCAGGCTTATATATATATATATGTTATATTTATATATGTGTATGTATATATAGATATTCATATATATATATATATATATATATGTAGGTTATAAATTATAACAAACAAGACATATATTTGTACGGTGGTCTCGATTCGTGTCCCGAATCTCGCAGGAGCGTTGCGCGAGCCTCGCCAGAGCCTCGCTGGCATGTTTTCGCAGGTGATGTTTCGCGTATCCAGGCTTTGACTGCCGTTCTCGCGTGTTTTACGGCTGTCCCGCTGGTTGCCCCGATGGGGCCTTTTCTTGGGCGACGTCTCGCGTTCCCAAGCATTCCTGGTCTGTCTCGTGTGCTTTTTGTGGTTGTCCCAATGGTTGTCCAGGTTCTCGCAGGAGAGGAGACTTGCAGGAGCTTCGCAGGCCAGACCAGAGTCGAGAGATCATTGATTTAGGATGCTGTCGGGAACGCGCGCAACTTGCTCAGGAGGACAGGCTGGCTACCTTTTCAGGCCAAGTTTTTACCTAACAGCTTTTGCTGATAGGTTTCTAGTGGTCTCAAAATAGAACATCTTGACGCCCCAAGGTGGTCTGGGCGGGATCCGGACAGATCCGGACAGCCCCAGGAATCCTTAGGAATTCGAGATTCTGGGGGATCCTCAGGAATCCATTCCCAGAATATTTTCCCACGCCACAGTTTGAATGCCCGGAGCCAAGTGTAAGCCACTTCGTGTTCTTCGTGTTCCCAGAACACCACTCCCAAGCCACATTTTGAATGCTCGGAGCCAACTGTAAGCCACTTCGTGTTCTTTGTGTTCCCAGAACACCATTCCCAGGCCACATTTTGAATGCCTGGAGCCAACTGTAGGCCACTTCGTGTTCTTCGTGTTCCCAGAACACAATTCCCAGGCCACATTTTGAATGCCCGGAGCCAACTGTAGGTCACTTCGTGTTCTTCGTGTTCCCAAAAACACCACTCCCAGGCCCCATTTTGAATGTCCGGAGCCAACAGTAGGCCACTTCGTGTTCTTCGTGTTCCCGGAACACAATTCTTGTACCATATTTTGATTGCCCGGAGCCAACTGTAAGCCACTTCGTGATCTTCGTGTTCCCAGAACACCAGTCCTGTGCCATATTTTGAACGCCCGAGCTGAGGCAGGCTAAAGCCGAGGCAGGCTGAGGCCGAGGCAGGCTGAGGCTGAGGCTGGGGCACGCCGAAGCAGGCTGAGGCTGAGGCTGAAACAGGCTGAGGCTGAAGCAGGCTGAGGCTGAGGCTGACGCAGGCTGAGGCCGAGGAAGGCTGAAGTTGAGGCTGAGGCAGGCTGAGGCTGAGGCAGGCTGAGACTGAGGCCGAGGCAGGCTGAGGCCAAGACTGAGGCTGATGCGGCTGAGGCCGAGAGGCTGACGCTGAGGCTGAGGCAGGCTGAGGCTGAGGCTGAGGCAGGCTGAGGCTGAGGCTGAGGCAAGCCGCGGAAGGCTGAGGCTGAGGCTGAAGCTGAGGCAGGCTGAGGCTGAGGCTGAGGCTGAGACTGACGCTGAGGCTGAGGCAAGCTGCGGCTGAGGCAGGCTGAGGCTGAGGCTGATGCAGGCTGAGGCTGAGGCAGGCTGAGGCTGAGGCTGAGGCGGGCTGAGGCTGAAACTGAGGCAGGCTGAGGCTGAGGCCGAGGCAAGCCGAGGCAGGCTGAGGCTGAGGCTGATGCTGAGGCAGGCTGAGGCTGACGCTGAGGCAAGCTGAGGCTGAGGCAGGCTGAGGCTGAGGCCGAGGCAGGCTCAGGAGGCTGAGGCAGGCTGAGGCTGAGGCAGGCTGAGACTGAGGCTGAGGCAGGCTGAGGCCAAGGCTGAGGCTGATGCAGGCTGAGGCTGAGAGGCTGAGGCTGAGGCTGAGGCAGGCTGAGGCTGAGGCTGAGGCCGAGGCAGGCTGAGGCTGAGGCTGAGGCAAGCCGAGGCAGGCTGAGGCTGAGGCTGAGGCCGAGGCAGGCTGAGGCTGAGGCTGAGGCCGAGGCAGGCTAAGGCTGAGGCTGAGGCAAGCCGAGGCAGGCTGAGGCTGGGGCTGAAGCTGAGGCAGGCTGAGGCTGAGGCTGAGGCTGAGACTGACGCTGAGGCAAGCTGCGGCTGAGGCAGGCTGAGGCTGAGGCTGATGCAGGCTGAGGCTGAGGCTGAGGCAGGCTGAGGCTGAGGCGGGCTGAGGCTGAGGCTGAGGCTGAGGCAGGCTGAGGCTGAGGCCGAGGCAAGCCGAGGCAGGCTGAGGCTGAGGCTGAGGCCGAGGCAGGCTGAGGCTGAGACAGGCTGAGGCTGAGGCTGAAGCAGGCTGAGGCTGAGGCAGGCTGAGGCTGAGGACGAGGCAGGCGAATCCTTCGGCTGAGGCTGAGGCAGGCTGAGGCTGAGGCAGGCTGAGGCTGAGTTAGGAATCAGGATTCCTAAGGATTCTTAGGGTTTCCTAAGGAATCCCATGTGTTCCTAAGGATGCCGAAGGATGCCTTAGGAATCCCTAGGAATCCTTAGGATTCCATTGGATTCTAAGGCCGTTGCCACTGCGACCGTCATTGCGAATGCGACTGCGACTGCGAGAACAGCAGAATTCTACAACTGGATTCTCACCTGAATCTTAAGGGGAATGCTTCCAAATATGCTTATATACATCGCTGTTAGGTTGCTTTGTCGGGATAAGTTTAAATCGAGGAATGCTTGATTCGGGATGTCCTGGTGTAGGAAATGACCAGACCTGTTAGCATTACGGGCCAGGCCTAAATCGATGAACCGATTTAGATCAATCGGCTTCAATCTTGGATTTACCGAGCGCTATATCACCACATGCACACATATACCTAGATTTAAATATATGTTTTATGAGAGAGCGTGACCCACCGCCTCTTCACTGTAGAAAACTCCCCCCCCTCTTCCTCTGGAACCTGGGGGTCCCCCCCCCTCCGAAAATCCCCCCCTTTCCCCCCAGCAAAACCCCCCCCTCCCTTACCCCCCCCCCTCTCCGGAAAACCGGGGGGGGGTGGGGTCACTACCGGTTCGAACTCCTCCCCCCCGAAATAAACCAGGGGGGGTCGCTACCGGCGCTACCGGTTCGAACCCCCCCCCCTTCCCACCCAGAACACCAAGGGGGGTCAACTACCGCTTCGACCCCCCCCCCAAGAAAACCAGGGGGGGTCACTACGGGTTCAAATCCCTGCCCCCCCCACCACGCTCACCGCCGGCAAACGACTCACGGGTCCCGACCACCGTCCGCACCACATCCCCCACTGCTGTCCCCAGCACCACTGCCACTGTCCCCACCACCACTGTCCCCACTGTTCCCACCACCGTCCCCACTGTCCTCACCAGTGCCCCCACCACTGTCGCACTGTCCCCACTGTCCGCACCACTGTTCCCACCACGGTCCCACTCTCCCCACTTTCTCCACGGCCCCAACCACAGTCCCACTGTCCCCACTGTCCCACTGTCCCCGCCGCTGTCCCACTGAGCTGTCCCACAGTTCCCACCACTGTCCCCACTGTCCCCACCGCTGTCCCCATTGTACCTCTGTCCCATTGTCCCACTGCCGTCCTTGCCACCGCCCTCACCACTGTCCCCACCACCACTGTACCCTCCACTGTCCCACTGTTTCCACCACATTCCCACTGTCCCCACACCACTGTCCCCACCACCACCGTCCCCACCACTGTCCCACTGTCCCCACTGTTCCCACCATTGTCCCCGCTGTCCCCACCAGTGCCCCCACCAGTGTCTCACTGTCCCCATTCTCCCCGCCATTGTCCCACCACTGTCCCACTCTCCCCACTGTACTTAACACTATCCCACTGTCCCCGCCGCTGTCCCACTGTGCTGTCCCACCGTCCCCACTGTCCCCACTACTGTCCCACTGGCCCCACTGTACCCACCACTTTCCCCACTGTACTACTGTCCCACCACTGTCCTCACCACCGCCTTCACCACTATCCCCACTACCACCGTCCCCACCACTGTCCCACTGTCCCCACCACTGTCCCGCTGTCCCTCACCACTCTCCCCACCACCACTGTCCCCACCACTGTCCGCACCACTGTCCCACTGTCTCCGCACCACTGTCCCCACCACCACCGTTCCCACCCCTGTCCCAGTATCCCCACCATTGTCCAATTGTCCCGAGGAGCGGGAATCGTTTGCCGGCGGCGAGGGGGGGGGGGGTTCGAACTGGTAGTGACCCCCCTGGTTTTCGAGGGGGGGGTTTGAACCAGTAGTGACCCCACCCGGTTTTCGAGGGGGGGGGGACGGGCTGGGAACTCCCAGTGACCCCCCCCCGGTTTTCCGTCTTTCATATTTGTACACATATATGTGAGTATATCGGCATATCGACATGTAAACATATCGATAACGAGATCGATGGGTCGACCGAACCATAGACGGACCGACACCAAGCTCGCGTACCCGATCCGACGCCAAGCTCGCGCGACGTGTGATGATGGACGAGAAAGCTCACACCTCCATGACATCCTTTGCAACCGATGCAACTGCCCGAACCCATCCCGCCCACCACCGTGAGGAAGCAACAAGAGACCCCCCCAGCCTCCTTCTCACCCCAGGGGGGTACTACAGAGCACTCCAAGTTTTGCAAGAGGAGCGCGGAGCCTGCTGCGCCTGCGCCTGCGCCGCGCTCGTGTCTATGGAGACCGACGTCAGCAACAACACGCCGAACGAGGCGTCCAGGAACGCAGTCTTGAGGCATCCTCCGGGAAAGGGAAGAGGAGGGGACGGAGGAGGGGGGTGGGGAGGAAGGAGGAGGAGGAAGAGAAGGAGGAGCAGGAGGAGCAGGAGGAAGAGGAGGAGGAGGAAGAGGAGGAGGAGGAGGAGGAGGAGGATGAGGACGAGGATGAGGTAAGGACAACTGAAGGAGGAGGGGTGGAGGAGAGGAGGAAGGTGGAGGCGGGAAGGAGAGGAAGGCCGATGAGGACGGACTAAGAACGAGGGATATGCAGTAGCAAAGATACTTGTGTCTGGTGTATGAAGCGTTTCTGTGTCAAGCGGGAAATAAGGCGGGCCCGGGTAAGGATCCCTTGAGCCCAAACTGTAAAGGACAACCCTTCTTGCATCCAGCGAAACATAAGTAGCCTCCCGTTCGAGTCTGGTGTTCAAACGAGTCCGTCGTGCCTCGGTGGCACTCCACATGCAAACCACCTAGAATCTCCCCGAACCAAAAAACGACAGAGCGGGCGCACTGAAAACATACAGGCGTGGACAAATGCAGCGCAGGGACAAATGCAGCGCAGTGGGTTCTGCTGACCCCCCTATGTAACGTTAGCGGCAATAGACGAGTATGCGGAGCGCGCCTCAATGTGCGCGGACAATCCAACAACATAGTTGCCGGAAACGGCAAGGCTCACTCAGCATGCTCAACTGTCGCCGCGTCTACTGCTCCACTAACGCACTTAGCGGAAGCAACACGCCTGTCACTTGCATGCATCAGCATTCACTTCATCTCTGTCCTGATTGCCCGTGCTGTCGGGTGGTATGCCACTCGGACGTCACATTCGCGAACATAGTCTGGGAGATGCGAGCGCCTGTGGCTCAATCATTCGAGTCGCCCGTTTCCTTGATGGTGAGATCTCTGTGTGCGAGCTTGGTATGGCCTTCCGATGCTTCTCCTCACTCAACTTGATCGTATTGTGGTCGTGGCTGATGCTCAGGATGAGGTCTCGGCCGGTGCTCCCCTCCGTCATTGGGTCGGCTCTCATGTCTCAAGTGCCCCACCACAATATGTCGTTGATCTGCTTGGTGCGGAGCTGGTCTGGCAGCCACCAGAGCTGTCCAACCATGCTGTTTTCCGATGGAGGGCGAATACGGTCCATGGCCAGGGCCGAGAAGACGGGCATGCCGTCGACGACCAAGTCGGCCGGCACTGCATAGCCGCCTCCCTCCCTCAGCCTCCCTCGGCTGAGGCAGGTCCGCGTGCCGACTCGTGGAGCGTCGGGGGGGCGCTTGCAGGCAATTAGCTGCGCCGCAGGCTGCGAGCAGCTCTGGGCCTAAGGATGATCGACACACGAGGTTGTGCGATCGGCTCATGGCGTCGATCCGCCCGCTTGAATGACCATCGCTGACCGCGCACGGTCGTCCGTCCCACTCCATCGCTGGGGGCGGTGACGCGCGCCTTGATCCTCCGCGCGGCCAGAGCGACCGGGTTGAGCTGCATCGCGTGACGGATGAGTAGCTTGTTCTGAGCCCTCTGCAGTGCGACGATGCACGCGGCGACGCGACGTTGACTGGGCGGAGCGCATGCAGTTGCTCCGAGGAGGGAGACAAAGAACTCTGGAAGCTGACCTCCTGCCGAGCTCCCAGCTCCGCGGGCGCGCATCAAGGAAGGGCACCTTTGGCAGCACCCGGCTGTACGCGGTCTCCTCCCCAGACATGATCGCGTCGTAAAAATTCAGGACGGGATGCTTTTTCGCTATTTTCGGCCCCTTGGGGCCCTCGCCGGGCCCCGGGACCGTCAAAAAACGACTCAGGATGAGAATCCTGCCCCGGGGAAAGGGTCTGGACTTCCGGGGACGCCGTCCTGAACAAAATCAAGACAGTGCTTCCTCCTGCCCAGTGTGTTCGGTTTCAGGGCTCACTCCCGCTGCCCGCGCCCCTCGCCTCCCCAGCTCCCAGACCCAGACGTCCGCTTTGCTCCAAGCATGCCGCCCGGACCTCTCGGCCCTTGGGGGCCAGCTGTTCGTCGTGTCGTGAACCACTCTCTGACACCCCCAGGCTCGAAACGATCTGCCATCTGTCTGGGCAGCCCCATGCTGTCTTTCTGTCTTCATCCGCGGCCCCTGAGCTGCTCCCCACCGCTTCCCCAAGGAGGTTTTCTCGTCTCGGTTCAATTGTTGGTTGCCTTTGGGCCAGAAACCAATTCCCAGTTGCCGGATTTGGTGAACAAATTTGCGATTGAACAATTGCAACCACTCGGCCCCAGATCCGCGATGTAGTGTTCTCTTTCGCACCGTGGCTAAGGTCTGGACCTCTTCCTCGGGACTAGTTCAGAACTCACTACGGTGAAAACGTATAGTAAGGACGCGTGGTAAGGACGCAAGACCCTTGGAGGCCGAAGTTGAAGTATTCTGGGCGGCAGGCGGCCAAACCCCCAGGGAACCTGAGAAACTGGCCTGCGAAAATTGCTAGGGACGGGCCGCAGAGGCTGAGGCAGGCAAGGACCCAAGGGTACTCTTGAAAAAGTCGTTTGTCCTTACTATGCGCGTTGACTGTAGCTATTTCTTGTTGGGCCCGGGGCCTGGTATATTACGCCCCCCTCGAGACAGAAAGCCGCGCAAAACCGGTCGTGTTCTTCTTCCACGACGCAAGGCCCAGAAATTCCGACCACTTCTCTGGGAGATGCTTTTCGCCCCGGCTCCGCTTTTGATGGTCCTGGGGCCTGGTAACTGGCCAACAGGAGTCGAAATTGATACAAAAAACGCCCGGATCTTGAGGGAGGGGGCCTGGGACCGACAAGCGCAATCCTTCGGATGCCTGGTGGGCCGCCCGGCCCCGCGGGGGCGCTCCCACGAAGTGCGCGGCGGCGAAGGCGGGCAGGCCAACCGGGAGGGCTCCGAGGAGATACCTGGCGCGCCCGCGTGCGTCCGCTGCAGGAGGAGGACGCGGAGGAGGAGGAGGAGGAGGACGAAAAGGAGGAGGAGGAGGCGGAGGAAGAGGAGGAGGAGGTGGAGGAGGAGGAAGAAGGAGGAGGAGGAGGCGGAGGAAGAGGAGGAGGAGGAGGAGGAGGAGGAGAGAATAAGGAGGGAGGGAGGAGGAGGAGGAGGAGGAGGGAGGAGGAGGAGGAGGAAGAGGGAGGAGGGTGAGGAGGCGAGGGGGAAAGAAAAGGAGGAGGAGGAGGAGGAGGAGGAGGAGGAGGAGGAGGAGGAGGAGGAGGAGGGGGAGGACCAGTGTAAACCCAAGAGTCATCAATGATGTTGGAAGAAACCCTCCCCCCAAGCTCCCTCTTAAGAGGCCTCTACAATGGTTCATGTTCATTGAGGGAACTGCCTCGTTGGAAGACAACTATTTGAAGACCCTGAGCATGCCAAAACATTATTCTCGGGATTCCAACGCCACGGATCAACCTGACTCTTGCGTCTTGACGGGCCTGAATCGTGCCAGAACGCCATCCTTGTGACTTCAACACCGCGAATCGATATATCTGTTGCGCCCGCATAATCCGGAATCCATCCAAAACACCATTTCGGGTACGTTGATCATAGGAAAACGTGAAGCTCTTTCAAATTTCCAAAACGAATGTGCGCGGCGCTAAGGCGAGAACCACATGTTGAAAAGGAACCGCCCTCAATCCTTGAAGCTCCTGCCAAATTTGCAAAACCAAAAAGAGAGTGTGCGCAGTGCTAAAACGAAAACCACAAATTGAACACGGGTTGTTCTCCATCCGTGAAACTCTTGCAACCATTTAAAACGAATGTGCGCGGCGCTAGGGCGAGAACCACATTTCGAAATTGGGCTGCCCTCAATCCGTGAAGCTCTTGCATCTGTTCAAAACTGATGTGCGCGGCGCTAAGTCGAGAACCACGTATTGAAAACGGGTTGCCCTCAATCCGTGAATCCCTGGTATTCGTTTATACGAATGTGCACGACGCTAAGGCGAGAACGACATTTTGAAAACCACTCGCCTGTGAAGCTGTTGCTCATTGTTTACGCTCCAGAATCATAAATGGTGATGAAGTCTCCGGCGAAACGTGTGGCCCGCCCTAAAACATGGCCTCGGGGTGCGACAGGAAGAAATTATTTATAAGGCCAAGGATTGGAGGAGGAGGGGGAGGAGGAGGACGAGGAGGAGGAGGTGGAGGAGGAGGAGGACAAGGAAGGGGAGGAGGAGGAGGGGGGAGGAAAAGGAGGAGGAGGGGAAGGAGGAGGAGGTGAGGTGGAGGAGAGGAAGAGGAGGGTGGAGGAGGGCGGAGGGTGGGGATGGAGCCACGTCTTCCCCCTCCTCCCTTTTTCTTCTCCTCCTCCTCCCCCTCCTCCTCCTCTTCCTTTTTCTTCCCCCTCCTCCTCCTTCTTCTTTCTCCTCCTCCTCCCTCCTCCTCCTCCTCCCCTCCCCCTCCTCCCTCCTCTTTTTTTCTTTCTCGTCCTTTTCTTCCTTTTCCTCCTCCTCCTCCTCGCTTTTCTCCTTCGTCCTCCTTTTCCTCCTCTTTTCTCCTCGTCCTGTTCCTCCTCCTCCTCCTCCTCCTCTTCCTCCTCCTCCTCCTCCTCCTCCCCAGCCTGCTTCCTTCTTCTCCTGATCTGTCTCCTTTTTTTCCTCCATTCCTCTGCCTTATACATAACCCCTCCCTGTCGAATCCCGGGGCCCGTCGAAACGGCGGTCCAGGCGTTTCGCCAGAGACTTCCTCACCATTGATGACCCTGAAGCTTAGAAGCTAGGAGCCGCTTCGCGGATTGCTCTCGCGTTAGCGCCGCGCGCATCCGTTTTCATTGTTTGCAGCATTTTCGCCGATTGCGGGCGGGTCGTTTTCACGAATATGGTTATCGCCTTAGCGCCGCGCACATTCATTCTACATTGCAAGATTTTCACGGATTGGGGACGGGTCGCTTCCAAAATGCGTTTCTCGCCACAGCGCCGCGCACCTTCGTTGTTTAGGCTGGCAAGAATTTGGCGGATTGAGGGCAGGTGGTTTTCAAAATGTGGCTGTCGCCTTCGCGCTGCGCGCGTCGTTTCAAAGATTTGCAGGGGTCTCGCGGATTGAAGGCGGCTCCTCTTCAAAAAGAGGTCACCTTGAGGTCCAACTTCTCGAAATCCTGCAGGAGACGCTCCACGAGCGAAGTCATGGGAGACAGCTGCTCCTTCAGGAGCGCCGCGATCCCTGGCGCGGTCACTGGCTCGGCTTCTGACCCGTGCGCGGCGGCAGCGTCGGCGTCGGGCTGCCGGAAGGGAAGGCCGCTCCCCTCGATCGTCTCCTTCTATCCGCTGCGATCTGCACTTGCCCGTCCCCCTCTTCCCCCACCTCTCCTTCCTGTCCCGACAGCGGTTCGAAGGGCGAGTCTGGGCGATGACCACGACGCGCCATTTTGTCCCCCGGCTCCATCCGCTCCCAAGGGGTCTCGAACAGTTCTTGGACAGGGGCGCCGGCCTTGCGAGTCGGGACTGGCGTGGCAATGTTGACCTGATGCGTTGTCGGAGTAGCCATCGCGAGCAACGTAGGGAGTCGCCGCGAAGGAGTAGGAAAGGTGCGGGGTAAAAGGGGGCGCGGGGAATGCTGCGCTGACAGAATTGCCCCCTTCCGCTCCGCGAGCCTCAAGCCAGTATCCTTGTGCCAAAACAACTCGGAGCAACTATTTTGGATCATGGGGGCGATGATAATGCCTCAGCGACGCGGGCAACACCTGCGCCGCAGGCGACAGCGCCTCCACGACTGGCAACCTGGCGGTGAATCGGGGCATCCACGCACAAGCGCGGGTCCAGGTTTTCGCCGCAGTGCCGTGGGCGCACTCGCGTCGGGCTGGACATGCGCGCGGCGGATGCCCGTGGGGGCCAGTGGCGCCGAGTGGCTGCGCCGCGACAAGCCCTGCCGCGCGGGGGCCGCCCCGAGCGCCAGGCTGACCCGAACAGCGAGCGCCGGCGCAATATTGAAGAGACAAGGGCGGCCCGTCGGCAGCGGCTGCCTGGCGAGCTTCAAGGCGCCTTCGACGAGCTTTTCGCCCTGTTCCTGAGTGCCGGGCCGCTGGCGCTGGTGCGGTCCCCCTTTTAAGTGGGCAGCCAGGCTTGGAATGGGTGTTGGGGGTGGCCAGTCGACGTCGCGTTGACGTTGCGCCTGAGCTCCTCATCGAAGAGTGAAGGGGCCCTGGGACACACAAATAAATACACACAAATTGCAGGATTCCCCATCTTTTCCGATATTTTCTGGGTTTTTGTCTTCCCCCCAAATCCCCATATTTTTTTTCTATATTTCCCGGGGAGTGGACGATTAATTGTGTCTGTGTGTTTTTTCCCCTCCTGGAAGAGGGCGTGGCATGGGCTGCGCCTCGTGGCGCAACTGGTGCGGTGTCGCTGTCGGTGCGCTATATGCAAGATTGGTTTCGGCCGTGGAGCAGGCGATCCTCACCGCCGAGAATGCCCCGTCGAGGGCCGGGCCGGGGCAGGTGCCGCGGCAGAGACCAGCTCTACAGTCTCGAGTGGACGCGCATCGAGGCGTCGCCTGGCCGTGCTGATGTGCATTCTCCAGGCGGTGAGCGGTGGGCTCTTTCGCCGTGCGCCATCGCTCTCTGGTTCGCAGCAATCGTGGCAGTTGCCAGCGGCAGAGGTGCATCGCGGCGTGGAATGCCGTGGCGACTCGCACGTTGGAGCAGCCTCGGGCCACCATCTTCGGCAGCAAGGCAACCGACGATGATGTTGACATGTTTTTTTTGTTTTCTGTAGATGTGCTGCTTGCGCGGTGTTGGCAGCGTCTAGGGACGTGCATTGAACACAGAGGAGGAAGGGCGACGCCGTGTGAAGATCTCCTGTGGCCCAAACGGCCACACGCATAAAGTTAAAGCACACACATCGGCAATCCAGGAGGGAGGAGCGAAGAGGACGATGATGTTGACATGGTGAGACCCGCATGGACATCCTGGACTTGGTCGCCGAGGTTTTGAGAGGTGGGCGGCCAGAGCGCGTGCGCGCTCTGTGGCTGCAGCGTCGCGCGAGCCCGGGGCGCCTGGGCCTCCGAGCCCGGGTGTCTACATCAATGCGTTCGGGGCCCAGGGTGTCTACATCAATGCGTTCGGGGCCCAGGCCCACCTCCTCCTCCTCCTCCTCCTCCTCCTCCTCTCCTCCTCCTCCTCCTCTCTCCCCTCCTCCTCGTCCTCCTCCTCCTCCTCCTCTCTCTCCCCTCCTCCTCCTCCTCCTCCTCCTCCTCCTCCTCCTCCTCCTCCTCCTCCTGATGTTCTCGAAGAGCCAGCTCTGTCTGCGCCTGGTGCGACCTCGGACCCGACCATCACCGTGGCCCAGAAGGTGGAACGGTGAACCCCCATATCCGGGCGGGCGCTGGTGCCGCGGTCGACGCCATGGCCGACGCCGCGGACCAGCTCCGCGGGCAGCCCGCGGCAGACGGCCTGGGCCCTTTCACGCTTGACGCTTTGGGTCCCGGCTCCCGGGCCGGCTCCCAAACTGGGCCCCGGGCCGGGTCCCGGGCCGGGTCCCGGCCGGCGCTGGAACGTCGAGTGCCGCGGCGGCGCCGAAAAAAAGCCATTTCAACACGCTGTGAAAATGCTGAATTTCTGCCTCCGGCGCCCGGAGGAGGAGGAGGAGGAGGAGGAGGAGGAGGAGGAGGAGGAGGAGGAGGAGAAGGAGGAGGAGGAGGTCCTTCCTTGGCTCGCGCCTCCTTTGCGCGCCTGGATGGTGGAGTGGAAATTGCCGATTCTCTCGCGGGGCCTCGATTTCCAGCTAGTTGCCTGGCGCGCGAGGTAACTGCAGGATCGCCCAGAAGGCATCTCGATTGAACGCTGCGCGGTTTCCCGCTCTAACTATCTCGCGAGCGCAACCGAATGCCTTCTTGGCGTCGGGTGCCTGGATGTGCGCGCGCACCGTGGATCCCCTCCCATTGTTTCTCGCAGTAACTCGTTGCCCATGGTCCCTGATGACTGACCCATTCGCTGCGACGCGGCGTCTTCCGCTTTGTGGGGCCCCTGCGGTTTCAGCGGGGGGGGGCGGATTCGCGCGCTCGGGGTTGCAACTGCGTCGCGGGCCCTCGAGTCAACGTCTGTCCCCATCTTTTCTCTCTGCCCCTACCGGCGCTTCGTTGGCGAGCTTATCAGACCCACCCATCTACGCCGACTGCAGTTCGGCACATCTGTGATTCCAACCTTTTCCCGCGTTAACTGCGCTCTGATGCTCCGTTGCCCCCGGCGACGCTGCGGTTGCGTTTGGCGCCGAGCTCGCGAGGCCGATGGTTCTTCTCGAGTCCCCCTGTTCCTCCTCTTCGGAGCTCTTCGAAGCTCGCGCGCGAAGGCGCGAGCTGCCAGCGACGCCTGCGTCGCCCTTGACCGCGGCAGATGCTGTTCAGAGTGGCCATCGCGAATGCGCTCCTACGCGCGCGGCTAAAAGGCCCGCCGCCTGAATGCAGGGGCCGCCCGGCGACCTATGCCGGGCAAACTTGGCGGCGGCTGACCGCGGGCGGTCGGGCCCGCGGCATTCGGGCGCAGGGGCGGGTAGACGCCCTTGCCGCGCGCCCTGTTTAAGAGCGCCATGTCAGATCGCAGCCGCTAGGCGCGCGCGCCATGGTGTGGCCAGCGGAACAGGCGCCCACTTTCGCCTTGCCGCCCAGACAGCTTGGCGCAACCAAATAATCGATCCGCGTCTGTGCCCAGAGCGCTTCTACGTCGGCTGGCTCTAATGTTCTGCCTCCAGCACGTTGTGGGGGGCCCGGGGACCCTGTCGCGCGCGAAGATATTGGCGCCCCCCGCGAGCATCCTTGGCAATGCCAGGGCCCCCAGGAACTCAAAGTCAAACCCGCTCTGTTCGATTTTGGACGCCCGACATGGGTACCGAAAAAATGGGTACGATGCCCAACAGCAAATGTTGTCCGAAACCAACAGCGGCCGCTGTTGGGCAGGCGGCCTTCTGTCTCAAATGTACACAGGCCGCGGCGGCGCGGACAGCGAGTCCTGTTCAGAATGAACAGGAAATGCTGTTGAGCATGGTACCCATTCTTTCTGTGCCCGTCTCGTTCGTGCAGATCGATGTTCTCCCAGCGAAGCCCAAGTCCGGCACTGCGTGCGTCGCGCGCGCAGTCATGTCTTCACTTCCAGGAAGCACCGACTCCAACGGCTCTCCCTCAGTCGGCGAGGCCGGCGTCGAAGGCCAAGAGCCTGCCAACTCTCGAACCCGTGGGGGCCCGTAGAAATTCAAGATGTCGACTCTTCTATGGCGGCCCCCCGTCGGCGCGGTAACCCCAGGAAGCATTTAAGAACCCCCCCCCCTCCCTCCGGCAAATCGATAGCCCTTCCGCACCCTGGAAGCGTTACCTGGCACCAGGAGCCCTCCTTGTGTCCGGATGCTAAAGCTATCGTTCGGTTATTTCGGCCCCTCGGAATATCGAATAAAAAATGCGGTGCTACGATATCGCCGGGGGGGTTCTTAAATGCTTCCTGGGGTTAAGGGGTGGGGGGCGCCTCGGGCCGATCTGCGCTGCGTGGGGTCTCGCTCTTGGCAGCTCAGTCTGCTTCGAATCAGGCTCTGCAGCGAAGAACCCGTCGCGCGCCGCCCCGGGCTGCTGAGGGACATCGCGCGCGACTTGATTCCATGACGTGATGCGCATTACAAAGGGCCAATGTCTGGCGACACAACCGTGCATCGCGCCTTCTTGTCAAACTTGGTTCTGAAGACGGGGCTGCTCAGGTGGCCTGGCCGCCTGCGCGCGTGCTCCAACAACTGAAGCGGCGCCGCCCGCAGCAATTGGGGCGGCACTTCCCGGGCGAAGATTGGCGACGGGATGCATCTGCTGACGGGCGCGTTCGCAGGGCGCCGCTTCGCCCTCCCAGACTGTGCGCAAACGTTTCGCCGCCTATATCCGGGGCGGCGTCTATATCAAGTTTTCCATCCTGGCCGATTCCCCAGCTGGCGCGGCAGCGTCTACGATCCACCTCTGGAAACATTCGAGCTCCTCCCCATGCCAGGCCTCGTCGCGAGCATCACGAACATCGAGCGCGGCGTCTCGTTGAGCATGATCCTGGAACTGCTTGAAGTGGGCGCAGAAATCATTGTGCTGCTCGTTGGCGGCGCACCATTCTCGCAACTCCACCCCTGACATCTCGGCCATCTTGGGGGGGTCGGGGGGGCGCCTCAAGCCTGCAGTTCACCTCGTGCTCCTGGTTGGCCATTGCTTCCTTGCCCGTCAACTGCTGCCATGTGAGGCTGAAGGGGCTGAAGGCGGCGGTCTGCCTGGAAACCTGAGGACGACCTCTTTGTTGTTGAGCTCCGCCTGCAAGTGCGGCGCTATGAGTGTGGGCGGCAGCGGCTGCATCGCATTCGCGTCGTTGCGTTGATCGTCCGCTGCTCGACGTTCTTCTTCGACCATCTGCCGCCGATGCGCAACCGGGCCACGTGCATCCAAGTGTACATGGGCGGCATTGTGCGCGGCAGCCGCCTGTCCGAGTAGGCCGAGTGATTATGCGCGTGCTTCTTCAGCTATGAGCTTGGTTCACATTCAAGACGCCATCGGTTATCTTCTCGCCGTTTTGTGCTTCGGGCTCTTGAGAAGCTAAGCACTTTAAAGCAACGCGAAGTTCTTTTAGCGTGTTCAAGATGATTGCTTTCGCGCTTCGAAGCCCGTCGCCGTCGATCATCATATGTTTAACGTGTGTTGTTTTCTTGTCGAAGGTTGTTCCTTATCCTCCCTGCCGTCTTCGCTCCCGCTCTCCCATTCCTGCTGCCTCCCGTTGCCCCCGCTCCGCGCACAGTCAAACCAACAAAACGCGACCGAATGCCGCTATAACGCCGGCGCGGAGCAGACCAGGAAGCCCCATGACCAGCCAGCAACGAGGGTCGGATAACTGCGAAACCAAATCAATATAGTACTATTTGGGGAACTAGAAGCAAAGAGAGTGCACTCAGGACGTCGTTGATGGGAATTTTAACCAAAGCAACGAACTGATGTGGAAACGCGGAGAAAGTTGGAACACATGCAAACGCATCGAATCGTGTTTTTAGCGTTTTTAGTTTTCATGGCTGGGTTGGACCCAACATCGCGAAGCAAAATAATTCCAAACAGGCCAAGGACATATTCAAAACGAGCGAAAACTCTGGATAGTGTATTTGTATTTTTGTGTCGCACGGCCGCCGTCAACCGCTGCTCCAATTTGAACAGGGCGACCCTCTCGGCCTTGGACCCCCTTTTGAACAGCCGTGGTGAGGGCCGTCCTGTGTTTGGCGACGTGCTTCTCAACGTTATTGTCCGCGGATGGTGGGGGACGTTCATTTTGCTCAGAAGGCTTGGCAGCAGCCTTCGTAGAACGGGTCGCTTCAACCATTCCCGAATAGCGTTCAGCCACCGTCTCCAACTCAGCATCCGAAGACGCTTGTTCACCACTACCTTGCACAGCGCGAGCACCACGGCAATGTTCTCTCCTCCACAATTTGAGCACGCCCAGTGGCCCAACTCGTTACATTCCCAATGCCAGACTTTCGAGGAACCGCCATGTCCTCCTCCACTCTGACCTCGAATCATATATATATATATATATATATATACATGTGTGTATATGTATTTGTAGAATTATGTGCCATGGCGTATGGCATCGTTAATCTTTCGAAACAGGTCACTGCTGGTAAATAAATCAGGGTTGTTTCAGCCAGCTTCGGCAGGAGCTCCTGACATCTGCAATGTCAGGGTCGGCTGATGCAGACGTGCGGCGCAAACAGGCTTGGGGGCGTTCGAGCCAGCCCCCGCGGCTGCATACCAAGCTCCAGCGCTGAGAACCACATTGGAACAGTAGTCAGAACGGCTACTGTCCCAGGCCCAGGGACTGTCCAAAACGACGGGCGATGAAAAGCCAGCCCTGGGGAACGAATCCCATAAGTAATAAAGTATCAACCGTCCTGCTCAAGCTGGATTCTCAAAAACCTTGTCTTATATATAGGAAGGGTCGGGACTTCCGAGGACCGCGAGTTCAAGCATCAGGACGCCGCATGCCTGGATGCCTCCCGCTGCTTCCGCACACTCCTCCCAGAGGGAGGGGCGCACTCCTGTCGGCATTTGGGCCCGTCAACACGAATCCGAGGAGGGCAGGAGGAGGGCAAGTCCGGACGAAGGTGCAGCCGGACCACAGATAGAAGAACCTCCTCCACGAACGTGGGACCCTCCGCTGGCCATGCCCGAAACATCCCCAAGGGTGCCTCCCCCAGCGTGCACGAGAACATCCGACAAACACGAAGCACATGAGGGCACCCTCCCCGAGCCGCCCTCAGACCGTGCATGGGCAATCTCTGAGAGCTGGCGGGGCGGCCGCTCCAGGGAACGCTCTGGATCGCCCAGCCCCGACAGGACCCTGCGGGGCCCGACGACGCCGGCACTGCCTCAAGACCCCTTTCCTTCATGGTGGACCATTCTCCTCCGCCGCTGTCCCTCGTCGTCGGCGTCGTCGTCGTCGTCGTCCTCCTCCTCCTCCTCCTCCTCCTCCTCTTCCTCCTCTTAACTCTCCACCCTCCCCCTCGTCCTTCGTCTACTCCTTCTTCCTCCTCCTCCTTCGCGTTCGGTCCTTCTACTCCTTGTTCTGCTGCATCAGATCTTGCTCCTCCCCGAGAGGCTGGCTCTTCGGGGCCTTTTCTGGAGCAGTTCACATCGTCAGTTCGAGCACAGAGTTCTAGGTGAAAAACAAGGTTGGGAAGTGGGCGGAACAAGGAAGAGGGGGAGGGGCTAGGATAATGGAAAGGAGGAGAAGGAGGCGATGAGGATGCGGAGGAACGAAGGATGAGGAGGAGGGTGAGGAGGAGGAGGAAGAGGAGCAGCAGCAAAAGCAGCAGCAGGATGAGGCGGAGGAGGACATCAAGGAGGATGCACATAGGAGGAGGAGGAGGAGGAGGAGGAGGAGGAGGAGGAGGAGGAGGAGGAATGGCGAGGATGTGGAGTGGGGGGAGTGGACAAGCACACAAGGGAACGTGCGGGGGTTTGCGAGGGGGCGCGACGGCAGACTCAGACGAAGTTCACCCTGTTGGCAGGGCGAACGCCACTTGCTGGAGAGCTTTCTGAGCGGTCTGTTAGGATGGGCGCAGGAATCAAGCGGTCTAAACTTCTTGTCCCGCTCGCGTGGGAGCTCCTCGCCTTCGTGCTCGAAGCAGTGTTTGACCGGGAGTTTAATGGAAACGACTTGATGGTGCTCGCCCGATCGGACACGGACGCGGAGGTGGTCACATAGCGGCTCGAGGGACACTCCCCGAGGGCTTCGTCTTCGGTCTTTGTGCTGGCGATTCGGGACACGAAGTAGGCATCGGCGAGGCGAGACTCCTCTTCCTTCAGACGCTCCATGCAATCTTTTCTATCGCTCTCCTTCATTGTGGTGGCGCTCAGGGCGAACATGGCCCAACTAATTCGCCACTTCTCGATCTGCTTCTCGAACCATATGAAGTGATCGCGGACAATCCCGGCCTCCTCCCGCATCATCGTAATCTCGCCCTCGACATTGTTGAACTTGTCGATCAGAAACTCCTTTCGGTGAAAAATGAAGCTCGAATGCTGGGGACCCGGATTTGCTTGACGGGGCCGTCATAAAAATGACAGGACATGGTCTGAAATTTGGCGCGAGCTCCCGCTGCAAACATCTCATGAAGACTGGACCGTCGCAATTCGAGCCATGGGACACACCGACCCGAACATACACTACAAAGATCTTGTAGTGTATTCTTTCCCGAACGGTATGGCCAGAACACTCCCACCACGGAGCTTACACTATACGATTTCCTGGCGCGTCGCCCCTCACATAGCACTAATATGCTGGGGTGGCGCATATGCCAGGGCCGTCGAAAAGCGGCGGCAAGCAGGAATCGACCTAAACAATGTTTTTCGTTTTGTTTTGTTTTCGCTTTCGTCGTTTTGACTTCGTTCCGCCTTTGCCGCAAAACAAGATCCAAACGGAAACGGTCTACGAAATCGCAAAACAATTGTTGAGGTCGAGCCCTGGATGCCAGGGCGGTCGAACAGCGGCGGCAAACCCGAGTCCCAACGGCCCTCTGGGCGTCGGTGGTCTAGAGAGTGTCCTCTTCCAACCCTCTTCTTCCCCGTCGAGGAGGGGTTGATCACTGTTCCCTATTAACAAACACCCCCTCCCCCAGGCGACTCGGGGCCAACCAGGGTCCATGACACCCCCCCACCATTCCTTGTAAAAAACAATACAACAAACACACACTCTGCCTCCAAATTCGGAACATGCGCAGCCAAACCGATGCGCCCCCCCCCCCCCCCCCACCATCCTTGTCAAAAAACAATACAGAGTACACTTGGCGGCGGCGGCGGCAGCGGCGGCTGCTGCGGCGGCGGCGGCGGCTGTGGCGGCTGCGGCAGCGGCGGCGGCGGCGGCGGCGGCGGCGGCACGGCGGCGGCGGTGGCGGTGACGGCAGCGGCTGCGGCGGCGGAGGCGGTTTGGCAGCGGGGGGCGGCGGCGGCGGCGGCGGCGGCGGCGGCCGGTGGCGGCGGCTGCGGCGGCGCGGCGGGCGGCGGCGGCGGCGGCGGCGGGCGGCGGCGGCGGCGGGGGCGGGGGCGGCGGCGGTGGCGGCGGCGGCGGCGGCGGTGGCGGCAGCGACAACGGCTGCGGCGGCGGTTTGGCAGCGGGGGGCGGCGGCGGCGGCGGCGGCGGCGGCGGCGGCGGCGGATTGGCCCCCAGTAGCTGCCCATCCGAAGACGACTGCTGAATATGCTCAGGCTCGGGCCAGACTCGGGTGCTGCGTATGTGTTGGGAGGGCGGGTGGGAGTGAGCGAGACGGCTTGCGGGCGGGGTGGGGGTAACTTGACCCCTCCCCCTCCCCCCTCCCATGGACCTGGGCGGAGGGTTCCGCGGCTCGTTGGGGCGTCCAAGATGGCCCAAGACGCCTCCAAGAGCGAAAAGGCGAGAAAGCAAAAACACATGGATTCCCTTAGGTTTTGGAAGGACTTTGGCCTCTTTTGGGGCCCAAGAAGCGATTCGAGGCACTCTAGAGGGGCAGCGCTACTTGACCCCCCCCTTCTTTGATAGATCTCCTGGCCCCAAGAACGCCCCGAAAGCTCCCAAGAGCGCCCCGAGAGGGCCCCAAGAGGCGCCCAAGAGGCCTCCGAGAGGCTCCCAAAAGACCCCCAAGAGGCCCCAAGAGGCTCCCCAAGAGGCTCCCCGAAATACGCATAAGGCCCCCAGGACCGCCAAGAGGCCCCAACGACGGCCCAAGAAGCCCCCAGGCTCGCCATTGTTCTCCTCCTCCTCCTCCTCCTCCTCCTCCTCTTTTTCTTCCTCCCTCCTCCCCCTCCCTCTCCTCCTCCTCCTCCTCCTCCTCCTCCTCCTCCTTCTCCTTCTCCTTTTCCTTCTCCTTCCCCTTCTCCTTCTCCTTCTCCTTCTCCTTCTCCTTCTCCTTCTCCTTCTCCTCCTTCTCGTCCTCCACGTCCTCGCCCTCCTTCAGCTCCTCCTCCTCAGCCTCCTCCTCCTCCTCCTCCTCCTCCTCCTCCTCCTCCTCCTCCTCCCCCTCCTCCTCCTCCTCCTCCTCCTCCTCCTGCTCCTCCTCTTCCTCGTCCTATTTCGACGACGACGACTCCTTCTACATCCTCCCCCTCTTGGGGTATATGGCGGCTTGCCCCGCCCTTTGTTCTTCTGCATGCTCCCCCGCTTCCCTCATCGCCCCCACTCCCCTGGGGCTCATTTCTGGACGGGCTGGTGGGGATACGTTTTTACTCAGCGGGCGGACGCGTGGGAGTCGCAGTCGCCGAAAGGGGGTCCGGGGCACGGGCCAGACTGAATTAAACACTAAGCGAGCAGCAAGCCGGCCGGGCCAGCACTCAGAAACTGCGGCGGAAGCAGCAGCTGGTGACGCTGGAAGGCTGAACTGCAACGCCCAGGGAGCTGATGCACCTGCAGACCTGAGGCGGTGAAGCCTGAGGTGGAATTAGGGATGCACGCCAGAAACGCCTGCCCACTGGTGGGGGTACTTTTTTGGTCGGCGGCTCCAAGGCAAAGGTCAGGGAGCGGAAGCAGTGTCCGGGATGCGGCACGGAGCGAATTTGCGAACACAGCCGCCACTGTCGGCAAGCCAGTTCGCACCTGGAAGACACGCGCGCAGCTGCACATGCACAGAACAAAACGAACTCAATTCACAAGCAAACGCACATTGGCGCAGCAGCGTGACCAACGTTTTTTGTTTTTTGTGTGTGTTTTTTTTGTGTTTTTTTTTTTTTTTTGTTTTTTTTTATATTATTATTATTATTAGTATTAGTATTATTATTAGTTATATTATATATATATATATATAATATATATATATATAACAGCCGCAGGCGGAAGCGCCAGCGGCGGAAGGTCGCGAACGGGCCGCGGACGCGACTAAATTACCTAACGCGCGCAGGGCCGCGGATCAGGCGGCTCACGACAGCGTCCAGGGAAGACGATGCAATTCAGGTGCCATGACAGCGCCTGAACGGGCATGCAGGTGCGTCCAACAGGCCTGAAGTAGGCACCGAGACCACCATCGCAGCCAACATGGCGCGAAAACGTTCCAACGTCCAAGAGCGGACAAGGGAACGACTGAGGACGCCAGTCCCAGCCTGTCGGGTAGCACAGAGGTCGGGGTGGTAAGTCCAACAAGGATCCCGACGGCGGCAGCGAGCCGCGGCGTCGGCGACATCAAGGTGTATCCATGTTCCGAGAAGACAACCACACCAAGACGTATCGGCCCAGCCCCAACGGGTGGATGGGCACCGGATGCACGCTCCCGTCGAAACGCGGCGTGTGCACAGCACAGTGTCACAGTGCAGTCCAATGAGACGGAGAGCACAGGCGGAACGAGACGTGAATACCCAGGCAAGTCCAACAAAGCCACTGATCCAAGGTCGCGGTAGGAAGCCGTCCAGCAATGACGTCCAGAGGGCACCGATCCATGGAGCCTGCAGGGTACCACAGGCTGACTGGGGACAAGTACCAACTGAAGAGCAGGCGGCGAGCCAGTCGCAACGTAAGAAGCGCATCCAGGGTGTGGAACGATGACTAGACAGAACATCCACACCTGAGATGCGACAGCCCAGATCCGACGAGTGGAAGGTAAGGAAGGGCACGATGCACGGCAGACCCCTACTGGTGGGGATACGCGAAGCGCTTAGACTTCTGGCGAGCTCGAGCCTTCTGTTCCCCCGATCCTTGGTGGGCAGGTCGCGGTGCTCGGCCGCGGAGGCGGCGAGCTCCTCCACCCGGGCCTCCAGCTCCTGGAGCTCGTCGGCACGGGCGGCACCCTCGTGCAGCGCCCGCCGCTGGCCGTCCACGCCCGCAGAAGGGCAAACAGCGGCACGAGCATCAGGTTTGGCGGCGAGCCCTTCTCCTCCTCCTCCTCCTCCTCCTCCTCCTCCTCCTCCTCCTCGGCGGGCTTTCTCTCAGAAGCCCGGAAGCCCTCCCGCCTTCTGAGAAAGTCCCACCGGCCCCCTGGGCGCAGGTTTTGTTGGCGATTTGTTTCTCTCTTTCCACAACTCCTCCTTCCCCTGCTCGAGGGAGGGTTTAGCATTGTTCTCCCCCTGCCCCTCCCGGCCAGAGGCCAACCCGGAACCATGCCGACCCCATGCGGGCCCGCCCCCCACCATCCCTGTTAAATAATGATACAAAACGCACTCTGCCTCCACATTTGGAGCATGCGCGGCCAACCTGATGCGGCCCCCACACCATCTCTTTCAACAAAAATCAAAATACACTTTGGGGCAAAGTCTTGAGTCATGTTCGTGAGGCCCGCGAGCACTTTGTATTGTTTTTGGCAGAGACGGCGGGGGTGTCAGCATATTCCCTGCTATGCGCAGGGCTACCATCCCTCACGCAAAAACAATGCAACATGCACCTCGCGGCTAAATCTGGATCATGCGCGGCCATCCCGCGATCACTGTCAAGTGGTTTTTGACAGGGACGGCGAGGGTGGTGGCGCGTGGCCTGGTGCGCGCAGGCCTACCAGACACACTGATGGGCATTGGTTTTCGACAAGGATGGCGGGGGTTTCCCGTTGTTTCTGTCACGTGCGCAGGCGCACCTGACGCACTCTGCACGTGCCCCGAACGTAGCGCACCTGGCGCGGCTGGAGTGTGCGGCACACATGGCGCACTCGGAGCACGTGGCGCATCTGGCGCACCAGGCGTGCCTGGCACGCTCGGGCCTCAGGGGTGCCTGGCGCGCGTGGCGCCCCTGGCACGCGTGGCGCACCTCGCCTAAGCGTTGCGCACCTGGGGTCGGCTTTGTTTCCCGGTAGCTGTCCATCCAAAGACGACCGCTGACAATGCAGAGGCTCGGGTGTTACCTATGTGTTGGGAGGGCGGGTGGGAGTGAGCTAGATGGCTCGCGGGCGGGTGGGTAGCTTGACCCCTCCTCCTACCCCCTCCCCTGGGCCTGGAAGGGGGGGCGCGAGGCGCTAGAGCGCCCAAGATGATCCAAGATAGCTTCAAGAGGGCCTCAGAGAGCCCAAGATGGCTTCCACGATGGCTCAGGATAACTGAAGATGGCTCAAGAAAGCCTCCCACATGCGTCGAAGACGCCTCAAGACGGCCCCAAGATGTCTTCAAGTGCCCTCTGGGCCCTCCAAGGAACCCCCCGAGAGGCCAAAATGGCTCCACAACTATAGGAAAATCAATTGTTTGTTTTGCGTGCCCAAGGGAGCCCCAAGAGGGGCCCACGAGCGTCCCAAGAAGGCCCCAAGACGACTTTTTTGAGCCTCCGAGGGGGGGAGACCTGAATTGAGGACCCCCCTCCTTCTGAGCTACGGGGGCCAAGACGGCCCCAAGAGACCTCTCACAGCCGCTCAAAGGGCCCAAAGAGGACCCCAAGATGGCCCCAAATGAACCCCAAGAGGGCCCCAAGAGGACCTCAAGAGAGCCCCAAGATGCCTCCAAGAGGCCCCCGAGAACCACTCACAACAACGCTTCAACTCGCCTGGCATTTTTTTTCTGAACGGGCTTGTGGGGATACGCGAATCGTCAGGGATGTCCGTAACTTTCCCCGAATACACAAACACTTTCTCAAAAGGCGCGAGGGTTTCTGAGAATTCCCGCCGCCTTCTGAGAAGGCCTTCTCCTTCTCACTTCCCCCCCTCGCTCGCCGCAGATAGGTGGGACGCAAAAAACCATTTTGGTACCATGTCTTCCTTGGAGGCATGCGTCCGACCAGAGCATGTAGAACCAACATATTGTAATCTACCGTCTCCTGACCGGTATGGCCAGAAAGCAATCGCCGCGGAGCAAATACTACAAGATTTCTCACTGCGCGCGTCGCCCCTGGGGTGCAGACGCACGCGTCGTATCAAAATGTTCTGGGCGATGCCGATGAGGCTTTCGGGGGCCCGAGGCCTCCAGGGAGTTCCGCACGGGCCCCAAGAAGGCCCCAGGAGCCCCCCAGGAGATTCCCGAAAGGCCCCCAACCTGCCTCCACGACGTTCCTAAGAGACCTCACGCGAGACCCCATCAGCCATCTGAGTGGTCCCAGATCCACAACCCACGTCGCGGTCCGCAAGCACGCGCACGGCCTCCAGATCCTAAGTGGAACCTTGCGGGCTGGTCCTCGGCTCAGGCCCGCAAGCCGGATCCTCAGTTTTCTTCCGCCCCCTCCTCCATATATGCCTCCTCCACCTCTTCATCCCCCTCCTCCTCCTGTCCCTCCCTGCGGCCCCGAGCATTCGCGCGCTGCCGCAAGCGCTTCAACGGGCCTCGCGTGTACGACTTGCACTTCAGGGTGCCCTTCTGGCGCGCGCGCGCGCTCGAAATTCGGACCAGCGATCTTCTTCTTGCAGGTGCCAAAGCATTCGCGCTCTTTCTAACTGCGTGCCGTGAAGCCGAAGTCCAAGCAGTCCGCGCATACAACGTTACTCTTCCTCGTGAAGTGCTCGCTCTCCTGTTTGTCGCTAGCGCGTTCCTGCCGCGGAAACTCCTTCTCGCGCGCCGCGCGCGTCAATTGCCCTTTCAACCGCTTCGACGCATCGGCGACTCCCTTCGCGGTTGTGCCGCACTTGCTACAATCGCCGAAGACCGCGCTGGCCCCCCTGTTCCTCGGGGGGCTCTCCACTTGGCCACGCTTCAAATGGCCTGTCTCCCGAACGACTCACCCCGCATCCTTGCGCGCAACACTTCAACGACTCCACCTCTGCCGCTACTCTTTGCTTGCGATTGCTCGACTTCCGCGTCGACTTCTCGCGCTCCTCCGCGCATTCCCGACAAGGCCTCTCCCCCGCTGCATTGCACTTCTTGTGTGCCGCCGACATCTTCGCCTGCTCGCCGAGCGGCGCTAGGCGCGCCCCGCTCGAACGCCGTGCTGTTCCCAAACTGCCGTTCCATTTTGCGCTCCCCAGGCGCGACCTCTGTTTCGATTTCACCTGGCTGCGCTTTGCGCAATGCCTGGTCCGAGGCTTCTTCGGCCCCTGCCCCTCTCCAGCTCTCTCTGCTTTCGTGGTCGATGTCTTGCGCGTGCTGCTCCGCTTGTCGCCCGCGCCCTGCGTCTCCGCAGGGCATTATTTGCAGATGGCTGACCTGTCCTTCTTCTGGAACTCGTGCTGCGTGAACGCTTCTACCGGCGGCCGCCGCCGGCGCCGCTCGCACCCGTCTCGCGGCATAGGACTCGCTTCCCATTCTTCCCAATCACCGTTCCCCCCTCGGAGAACCCGCATGTCGCCCTTGTCGCGAGGTTTCCTGTCGAACGGCCGGGATATCAACGGGCCCTGTCGGCGTCGCACGCGCGATAGCCATGTAGCTGGACATCCAACGGACGCAGCGTCCTCTGTCAAGATCCGCTATCGCTACGCCCGCAGTTCGCCCTCGCGCGTCGTGCGCCGCCACTGCAAGCGACGGCGTGATCATGACACGCGTGCGCTTCGTTCTGAACGCTGGATGCTCCAGGCACCCGCCCAAATACCATTGGCGCCCTTTCGATGGGAGGATTGGAAACAACGCCGGATCCCAGCCCAAGAGGTTCCAGTTTTTCGCGTGAGAATCTAACGCTGTTAACATGGGCAAATGCAACTGTGCCCCCTCGCCGTCGCCCCCCGCGACCTCGTCCATCTGCAGGGCCCATCCATGCATTGTTGACGCGCGCCCCCGCAGCAGTTGCGTCTTCGACCCATCTAGGCGGTCTCCCAAACAACTAGCATGCCCGTCGCCGGCGGAGGCCGCCCATGCAAGCGTGCGCGCTGCTTGTCGTGATGCCCCAGCTGCCATATCTTATCCTCCACGGTGCATGGCCGTCGCTGCTCCCCTCCGCGGCACGGGCAGCCCCTTGCTGCGACCCAGACCAGCTGTTGACCTCGCTCCTTCGCCCACGGCGCGGCCCCCGGCCTCCAGACGTGGCGCCGACTGCATTGATGGGCATAAACTGCAACGTCCTCAACACCCCCCATCCCCGAATCGTTTCCTTTTCCCTCGCTCACCCTTGCGTGCCTTGCGCTCCGGCGCGCTATCTCTTGAAATCGCCGCTGCGTTCTCGACAGCGCGCGGCTCTGCTCTGCTCTGCGCCGCTCGCCCGCGACCCCGGCGCGTCCGTTGGCCTGCCGCGCAAGAAATTACACGCGCGTTCAGTCAGTGCTCCTCGCCTGAACTCGTATCGTCTTGCGCGGCGAAAAACTAATCGCCCTGGTCTGCGACGCGATTGCACTCTGTCAACTCCGTCATCTCCTGAACTGCGCTTCGCCTTCGGCGCCCCAGAAGATGCGCTGCCAGGCAAGCGCGTGCTTCCTTGCGTTGTTTGGGCTCGACGTGGGCGCCGCGTTGATTGCTGTTCCAGACGGCGGCTCCAGCTGATAGATGCCCCCGCAGAACAGCGCGTTGGCGCCTCCGAGTGGTCTGTCCGCGCCGTTCGCCCCGACGATCGTCGCGCTCGCTGCTGGCGCGCGCGACTGCAAGTGCGAATCCAGCTCAGCCGCGCATGTTGCGCTCGCCGTGCTGATGTCTTCTATGACCAGCTACTTCCATCGCGACGCTCGCTGAGCGGCCTCTCCCTTCTGGGTCTGCTTCTTCGTCTCTGCGTTGCCGGTCTCTTTTTTTCGTTCTGGCCCCTCATCGCTCTCGCGCCCGCGCCAAATTGGCCGCGGATTGTGCCCTCGCCCAGCGCTGAGGCGCTCGCGGCTTGCAGCGCTGCCGCCTGGAAGTCGACGCCGCTGTCGCTCGAACAATTCTTTGCGAATCTTCTCCGCGACGAAGCATGAAGGGGGGGGGGGGCTGGCGCGCCGGCCGCGCCGCGCCTTTTGAAACGGCCGCCCGGCAGCGCGCCCGCTCGGCACGGGCGGGCGAAGAACAGGCGG